AAATATTTTTTTATTTGAACGAAAAATAGTTTATTTTGCGCCATCACCAAAATAGATAACGTTAAGTTATCTTTTCCCAAGATCATAAAATAGATAACTACTTCCTCTGTTCGCATATACCGCGCGCCGACATATCACCTTTTCACTACTACGTAGTATTTCCAAATTACTAGCAACATTTGCCAAGTGTTGTAAACTATCCGGACGTTATCCGTACAATCTGGGTGACTTCGATTGCACTTCGACGTACCACTTCTCAAATCCCTGAAAAATATAAAACTCAAAGATCTGATATTTTTAATTTTATAAAAGTGCGAAAAAACGAAGCAGTTTTTGAACATAAAGACGTGCTTTTCGAGCTTTTCCGTTTTTGATACTCTTTCAAATGTGGTTCGATTCATCAAATTTGGATCAAAATTGAACATGTAGGCTCACTGAGAAGTCAAATGTCGGCTCTAATATCGAACAGAGGAAGTATAACGGCACAATAAATAATCTATTCCATATTACAGGATAATACTGTACGACGTAGTACACATTAGTTGGCATGCTGCGAAACATCCGGATAATTAACCGGATATTTGTAGGGACGCTATTTAGGACTGTTGGTAATTGTTTCGCAACATGCCAACTAATGTGTACTACGTAGTACAGTATTATCCTGTAATATGGAATAGATTATTTATTGTGCCGTTATACTTCCTCTGTTCGATATTAGAGCCGACATTTGACTTCTCAGTGAGCCTACATGTTCAATTTTGATCCAAATTTGATGAATCGAACCAAATTTGAAAGAGTATCAAAAACGGAAAAGCTCGAAAAGCACGTCTTTATGTTCAAAAACTGCTTCGTTTTTTCGCACTTTTATAAAATTAAAAATATCAGATCTTTGAGTTTTATATTTTTCAGGGATTTGAGAAGTGGTACGTCGAAGTGCAATCGAAGTCACCCAGATTGTACGGATAACGTCCGGATAGTTTACAACACTTGGCAAATGTTGCTAGTAATTTGGAAATACTACGTAGTAGTGAAAAGGTGATATGTCGGCGCGCGGTATATGCGAACAGAGGAAGTAGTTATCTATTTTATGATCTTGGGAAAAGATAACTTAACGTTATCTATTTTGGTGATGGCGCAAAATAAACTATTTTTCGTTCAAATAAAAAAATATTTTTAATAGATTATTTTTTGTGAACCACTGGGTGCGCCATCACGTCGTGAGGTCAGCTGCGCCGCGCGGCCGACGCCCAAAATGGAGCCATCAAAGACCCGTAAATAATGGTACGCCCACTATATCGCCTGTGTTGGAAGGTGGTATGTCTGATTGTAATTTTGCGAGATGATCACATGAAATAGCCGATGCAACCATCCCTTCATCCGACGAGACACGATTGTCGGCGCGCCGAATAGTCAGGGCAGAATTCGTCGATAACGGTACGTGAAGTTAGTTGGATGTACTGACTGTAGTGTCGATGATAGCTACCTCGCTGGAAATCGTAGGCAAAGCGGCGGATGCCGCCGCAGTGTCCCCGATGTCCAACGAGGTGGTAAAGTCGAGGTACCTGCATGTGATCTGATCAAAGACTTTATTAATCCATCGACGGAGGCGACACTGCTCCGGGTTTACTTAAAGCAGAGTCGCCTGCGCTACATTTGTATGTTGCTGTAAAGTGGATTCTAGAGCGACGTCGACGCACCTACTTAGTAAGCTAGACTAGTTTATAGTACCGAGTCAATAATGAATTTGTTCACCAATATGAAAGGTATTTGATTATTCATGGCAATCGCTCTTTGCTTGCATCACATGGTTGTGATGAGTTTTCGTCCAGTTCCCGCATCTCCCAGAATTTCAATGCTCCGACACATACATGCTTCAAGATAAGCAAAGCAATCCTTAATTGGTTATCGAAATGTGAGTAAGTGATAAATTTACCTGTGAAGTATAGCTTTGAAGCATGTCAAAATAGAAAATGTCAGTGAGAAATGAAAAAACTTAAGTTTTCCCACCGATGCGAAAGGTTATACCGTAACCACTTGGAGAGCAGAAGGGTTGAGAACCCATAGCGATTGAAATGATACAATGTATTCATGGATTTTAAGCTCCTAGTAGTTAGTGAGCATTCCTTCACAGACCAGAACCGCGAGACACCCCTATTTCATGCTCAGGGTGAGGACTTGGAGGTAGAGAACCTCGAGGCAATTTCCAGTTTGTTGACGATGGAAATAGCTGGTCTAAAATAACGGCGGTCGTGCCAAGGCTGGGGCTGGTAGCACGCCCGCCTTGGCTCCGTCCACAGCCACCTTTGGGCCTTGGGTGTCTTTGAGCCGGCACAAGCCACCGTTGAGGTTGTACCACACAAAGAGTTTGCATCCCGGTGTCTTTTTACATTCAGCGCAGCAGGATTCAGCAGTCGCCAGTTTGGCCGAAGCCAAGTTGCCGCCAATATAGTGCGTGTTGTCTTCCAAGGTGCCACACGTGTTTAGGCCATTGGTCGGGTTGAAGACTTGGTTGGACTTGGAGTCCTTCGGGGATGGCGGGGGAAGAGTGAGACGGGGGATGCTAGCAGCTACGGCCTTGAAGATGTTCAACCGGCCGTAGCCAAAGAGGTTGTTCGGATATCGCGTGTTGGGAATACCACCGCAGGTCTTGTTGGGCGGAGTTAACGTGTCCGTGTCCACATTCTTGGTCAGGGCCTTGTACACTTGGTCGTACGAGGCGCCTTTGTTGGCAGACAAGTACAAGGCGATGGCTCCAGAAACATAAGGCGCGGACATGCTCGAGCCAGAGGCCTGCAAAACACCATCGTCACTCAAGTGTCCTGCGGTACGGATGTCGGAACCAGGAGCCGAAATGTCGGGTTTGACGTGGTTCCTCACGGAAGGTCCCAAACTTGAATAGATCGACAAAGAATCGCTGGAGTCAGTGAAGCCGACAGAAATCACTTGAGGGGACGTGCCAGGATAAGTTGAATACCCACAGCCTTTTAGGCCATTGTTGCCGTTCGAAAACACGGGAATGATTCCCGCTTCTCTCCACATTGTAATCATGCCTTCCAAAAAGAAGTCCCTGCGGTGCCTACCAAAGCTGCCGTTGATCACATGAGGGGCCTTGCTGCAGTTTCGGTTGTTGCCGTCTTTGTCGTGGGGACAAAGCAGGAATTGAGCGCATTCCACCACCTTACGATCCACGCACCACCCGTTCTTGCACCCTTTGCAAGCAATCCACTTGGCCTTGGGGGCGACACCAATACCTTGCGTTCCCACCATAGTGCCCATGATGGAAGTGCCGTGGCCCAGCGGGTCGCTGGGCAGTGTCGTCTTGTTGTACGGGTCGAACCAACCATATTCACTTCGCCAGTTCGACTTCAATGAATCATGGGTATAGCGAACACCGGAGTCGATGTTGGCCACGACAATGCCGTCGCCCTTGATGCCTTTGGCCCACAGCGCCGGCGCTTGGATCTTCTTGATCCCCCATTCGCTGACCTCATTGACAGCACTAGCTGGTTTGTCACCGCTTTTGGTTTCATCGAGTGTCATTGTAACTGGCTCGTGAATGTATTTGACTTCCGGCAACGCCGCGATCTTCTGGACGAGGTCGTTGGGGGCGTTGTCGATGTACATGGAACATTGGATCCATGTCGTAGCCACTTCCACAGCCGTCGATTCAACTTGGTTGGCCAGGAGCGACTTGACCGACGCCTGAGACTTGGTGGTGTGCTCCTTCAACGAATCAACCAGCGACTCAATGGTTTCGGTGCGAGACGCGCCGCCCTTGAGTCGGCGGCGGTGGGTGGCGAGGGCCTCGTCAGAGTGAAAATTGACCACGATATTCGACTGCTTGGCGATTTCCAAGTTACGATGCACTTGGACCGAGATTTTGGCCGTGACGACGGTGGCTGCTGTGGCGGCGAGCGCCATAAAACGGTACTGAAGCATGATGTTGTTGGGTCAATGGAAATTGCAAATTGAGTCCAATGCTGGGTGTAGCACGTGGCTTGCCTTGCTTAACACGCTGGGAAATAGTATAATACTAAATAGTAATAAGTACGTACTACGTAGTACTACTAGTACTATATCAATCAGGCCAGCAGGTGTGTGTAAGTGTACTGTAGCACGTGACTTGCGTAACACGCTGGGAAATATACATATCAGGTCAGCTGTTGTGTACTAGTGTATATGTGCACATACTGTATACTAGTACTTCAGTACAATATGCATGGCAACGTGATGAAATCGTTAAGCTTATGGAATGCTCAAAATCGTTTACAGTTAATTATTACTAGTACGTTTCTACTGTAGTAAGACGCACCAAGGTCCTGATGGAATGGCGCGTCAATATTAGGGAGATTTCGAATGTGCGACGACATACCAAATTCACCACATGGGAGGGGGGAATAGCTCAGGTGGTAGAGCATCGGTTTCTTAACTCAAAGGTCGTGGGTTCGATCCCCTGCTTCCCCGGATTATTTCCGCAAGAATTTATCCGTCCCTCCCCTGGGGAATCCGGATAACAAGGGCCGCGTACGAAGACGAGGACCGAACTTCGAAGAAGATCGGTCGAAGCACGAGGTATGAAGCGTTGAGCGAAGTAAAAACCGAAGATTACACACCGCCCCTGGTCGAGCAGGCGCGTTACAATTGGCGAAGCGGTTCCATAACATGTGGTTCTAGTGTCGGCCCTCGCGGAGGAATGTCTTAAAAATGATAATCCAAAACTCAATTAATCAA